CCCCTAAAATTATTCCAAGTTCAGGAAAATATATTAATTGACAGAATAAATTTGATTATTTTAAAACTATAAATCATAATGTTTCGTAAATAGAGCCTTAATAACCATTCTCAATTAATGAGAATAAAATTTATCAAGCATATTAGTAATGAATAATGACACAGGTGATATCATCTATTACCTCCTCTTCCTAAATGAAAAATAATTATTCAATTGAGAGAATCTTACTTGTTTCCATCTTTTGTAAGCTTCTTTAACTAATGCATTAGCAGCTGCCTCAGGTGCACTCTTAGCAAAAAAAGGCAGAGATATTTTTGCAACTTCATCATTTTGCATAAACTCCCAAATACCATCACTGGCAATGACCATGAATATATCATCTGGGGTAATTTCATACTCAAGAATCTCTGGATCTGGGATGACTCCAACAGACTAAGCAACATAATCTCCCAAACTTCTAGACATTGCTAGTCCTGGGACATCTTCGTTCATTAGCCACACTCTCTAAGGACCCATTTCTTCTCCAGTCTAGAAATCCCTAAATGCTTCTATTCTTCCTCCTTTTTCTCTGATTCTTTGACCTTCATCAGTATCACTTGGCTTATGATCCCTTGATAACTGTCGAGCTTTACCAAATTTGTTGACAACGATTGCTCTGCTATCCCCTGAATTTGCAGTATAGATCTTGGATCCATTTAAAAGGACTGTGCAACAAGTTGTGCCACTATATTGAGGATCAGGAGTATGCTTCACCAAATCAGTATTGCATTTTACAAATGAATTTCTCAAGCTTTAATGAATATTCGGTACTAAATTTCGTAACTCTTCTTCAAGTTACTGGGGGAGGGCTGTCTTGACGTAATTTGATACTTCTTTTCCATACTATCCATGACCGTCACAAACACCAAAATAATGCAATGCTGGCTAGTTTAATAGATTCGGAGCTAAAATAAAACTGTCTTAATTTGTTTTATAAGGATTATTAGGAATAAATCCAACTCTCGTTGCGAAAGCGAACTTAGTAACAACATTTTTTACCTCTCCAAAGTGTTATCTTATTAAGTTACTAGGAGGTGGTTTTCTCAAAATATTTGATTATGGAGGCTATTAGTATGGTTATGTTTGCAAAGCATTCTGCTTATTATCTAGCTATACCTTATTCAAACTATCATCACGCTTAGGTAAATTATCTTGTGATTACACTTATCTTTGGACCTTGACTCTTTTTTATTGCTATGAATTTTGTGGATTATTATTTCCTGTTCTTTCAGGAGAGAAGTGGTCTTCCAGATTGTTTGGATTCATCAGGAAGTTATTGAATTTCTTTTAAGGATTAGGATTTTATCTGTTGATTACCATATTAGCTTAATTTATTTATTGTGCATTAGTGATTAGGTTTCCAGCCTTAGTTTGCTAAATCTTCCTTTACTGCATAATCATGTTAATATTCTGTCCATTTGGAGGACTATTCGGAGCAGAGTTAGTCATAAATTATGGCTATTGTAGATGGCCATTTAGTTATAATTTCTTCAATCTAAATGACTGATCTTTCGTTAGCTAATCTGAATTTTTTCGGTTTTTAAAAGAAAGATTTGCAATGTTTGGGTTGTGCTTAAACATTTATTCCTACATAAGCCTTTGATATTCAGCATTTTATACTTAAGAATTTGTACTAATATTGAGCTACTAATCTTCATCTAAGCTGTTATTAACAATTCTGCCCTTTGAATTATTCTATTATGGTCTTTATTTTACAATTGCTAATTAATTCTAAGGCCCATTTAATCTGTCATGAGAAAACGGTCTTTACTATGCCAAGTTTGATTTCTTAGTATCAATTAACTATTAATTTTAATTTGTAACTAATTTTTTGTTGAAACTTTTACTCAAGCTATTGCTCGATGCTCCAGTACTTTCATTTTAATTTTTAGAAGTGACTGGCCTTTATTGAATCATAAGCAATCCATTAGTTGAGTCATCCAAGGTATTATTGTTGCTTTCATATTCATTGGGATTAGAATATCTTCTGTTAATTAGATCTATCTTAGTGAGTTTTCTATTTGATTTTCTATCTTTTGAGATGTCCAGAGTCATCTGATTCAAAGAGGGTTGAATGTTTTATTTTATTATACTACCAGAGGAGTTTTTATCCTAGTTATTGAGCCCATCTATTATAATCTACTTTTGTAAGTTTAGAGACTGATCAAAATCTGGGTCAATAGGCTTGGGAGGAGACATTGAAAACTTTCTATTGCCAAACTTGACCTAGCCAGCCCTATTATTACTGCTTCCTAAGTTTTATGATAAATTATTAGGATTGACATTATTGGCCTAATATCTGTTCATGAATTTTTTCTAAATTTGGTAGGGAGCAGGCTGACCAAGCTTTAAAAGTTTATTTTAATTGTCAAATGCTTCAGAATTGTTCAATTTTGAGTCTTACTAGAATTGCTTGAAAAGATTCTGCTGTTGTTGTTAAACGTAAGACGAAGGCGATGCTGGTGTTGAGGGATTTCTTATAGACTGATTTTAAAAGTTACTCTATTAATTCTAAATCTAAAGACCCATTATGTTTTGTGGCTAGTAGAATGAATTTGCTCCACCTATGTTCATATTTTAAACGTTGAAGTTTATATTGCCACTATTCATTTCTCCTGATTTTCTCTATTACTACTTATTCATATTCTAATTGTTTTGATTCATAATATTTGAGTTATTATTTTTGCCCTGATTTTTCATATTTAATTTATAATTTTAGACTTTATATGAAACGAATCATTGCGGGGTTTTGGGGTTTTGGGGTTTTGGGGTTTTGGGG